CCACAATTGCAGAGTCATCCGAAAACTTCTGCAGATGACATGTCTCAGAGTTGTACCTGAAGTCAGAGGTGTAAAAGGTGAACAGGAATGGAGCAAGGAATATGTTGATACATCATTTACATCTGCTAAATAAGGTGGGAAGCAATTCAAAAGGGAAACAAAATGTAAGTATTCATAGTTAAAAGCACAGAAATTAAGGGATATTATATTAAAAGTGCATAAAGGCAGCAGTAAGGCCTCATTATGAATATTATGTACAGTTTTGGTCATTACTTTTCAGTGAAGACACTGCTGCTCTGGAATCAGCGCAGAGAAATGAATTTAAATCTGAGAGCCTCTTTACCAGAAGAGCCCTGGGGGTGTCGAACAAGCTGCCCAGTCATGCGATTGATTATCGACAGTCTGGCTTCTTTCAATAAACAATTGTATAAGAGCCATGGATCACTCACCTGGTTACTACATTGGCTCCTCGGAATTGCACCTGTTCTACTGTTCTCATTCCAAGGCTCGATTTAAACTGTGGCTCCCGGATTACCAGACGATCTTGATAAATCACACGAAATGAGTCAAATAAATAACATTGTTTACTTAAACTTACGTTAAGGACAGTCTAACATACTTGATATAAACTATAGGTATAATAAGAAGGAATTTATATACATCGGGTTAATCGGATAAGAATGACAAAAGAAATACAAAAATCATACATTTTAAGATCGCGTGTCTGGTGTCTGTCTCATCATTGCTGTTCCTCCTGGGCGCTTCCTGAAATCCGACAGGACTATGCAGTTTGCCATTGCAATCCTAGAGCGCTTCCAGAAATCGTGCAGGAGAGGTCGCCAGCGATCCACGTGTACACGTAAAATACTATTTATTTCGTGATCTTAAATAATAAAGGTATTGCAAAGTACTTCCTGTTACTTAGCAAAGTGCAAAGGTGCACTCACAATACCAAGTCCGTTAAGTGGAAAAAAAAAATTGACGATATAGCCCATACGTGAAATCGTGCACACCATTTACTACTCCTGCTTCAGTATTTGGAGAGAAAATAAAAAAACCTTTTCCAAAATCCTTATTTTTTCTCGATTTAACTACAATTTAGTATAACTACAGTATTGTTAAGCTGTTAATTAGTGTTTGTTGTCGCATCCAAGATCTAAATTATATTACAAAGAATGCTTTGGTAAGGTTTGGCGTTGCCTCCTAATCCTCACCCACACACCTAACTCTTACCGCTGTGAACTGGAGCCTAGTTTCATGCTCTGCCCTGGGCTAAACATCTGTCCCCTCAGCCTCGCCCCGTGGGACTCGTCAGTCTGTAAATCTGCACAGGCTGAGCGCTGTGCTCACAGGTGTGGTAATTACTACTGGCTGTTTTCCATTCGTTGACGAGCAGAACAAGTAACAAAGAGATTTTGTAACATCTTGGTATAGTTTTTATTAACGTTTCATGGTAAGTGGTTGGCATACAGTACTTGTACAGCAAGATTATACTAATCCTTGCGCTTGTGACTTTACTGTATGTATAGAGAAATCAAGCCACAGTTTGTCTACCTCAGGTCAATGTCAGGGGCTCTGCTGCCGGATGTCAGATAGCATTGGGAATATCAGTCCTCACTCTCTTAAAGGAAGTAAGACGGACAGATTTACACAATCACGTTAAAACAGATGATAAAATCACCTGTTATCATCAGCCACATGGGTAGAGGCTGAATAAAGATTGAAGTGAGACACACAAAACTAGAACTTTTCTAGAATGCATCTTGATCATGCTGCTGTTTTCCTCAAGGCAAAAGCAGTGCCGATTCTAGAGCCCTTGTCCTTCGGGAGGGTTAACAAATAAATGAACAGTTAACCTCCAATTTCTCCAGACATGGATAGAAAATTTATTTTGATCACTTAAGCAGCTTATTTATTTAATGTAGTAATTGGGATCTTATTTGGAACAATAACATAAACACTTTACAGCCCTCAAAGACCCTATTTGACTGCAATTCAAATTGGTTGCATCATTGATTGAATAATTTGGCCTTTAAACACCTTCTGGACTGTGGGTACTCCAGAATCAGAATGGAAGTCATAGTTGTGTTCACCTCCAGCGCTTATCAAGATGGATTGTCCCTTGAGTTTTATATACGATATGTATCCCTACAAATAAAAACAGAGCCATGATAGTGATGGCCCGACGAGCTCCAGGGCACCTGGTTCAAATTCCACAACACTTTCCACATGTGGAAGGAGCTCGTCAGGGCCATCCTTAACGAGATCAGGCGGAGCCTATCAGCCTCGTTAAGGGAACCTCAAACACTATTTAAGCCCTGAGGACTCATTCCTTTGGGCTTAGACATTGGATTACAATAGGAGTGTACATCTACCCTTCTCCCAGGATCTTGTGCTCAGATATCTATTGATCATCCAATTAACCCACAAACCCTCACTGCTGAACTGACTCTGACAATCATTCATTTGCTGTGCCCCGTTTTCCACCCATGGGCCTGGTGTCACAATAATAACAGGATAATTTTCAGATGCTAGAGCTAACAATTAAAATGGATCCATTTTAAACAGTGTTCAAGAATCTGCTTGGGCAGTGTATCCTTTCCGAAAAGCTGTTGTGACATTACTGTATTAAAACAATACATTGGCAGACATAAAAACTGATATCCTTCACCTTTTAATTTAGTTAATTCAGCGGAATGTCTTGCATACTGTTTGGCAGATTTAGCAAGAGATCAGTAAAGCTGAGGATTATAATTGAGAAACAAGCATGATTTAGAAATGACATTTATTTATACTTTAATACAATGGGTAAAAAAGCCTTTGTTTAGATGGACAGAATGAGTTATGTTTACCATATGTGGAGAAAATTGCTACTTTTAATAATTAATTTTATATTTATTTGAACAAATTAAAGCACGCATGTGGAATTACTGTTTTCATCTAATTTATTTTCTCTCATTCATAACTGCATTTGTGTCAATTGCAGGGGCAACAGAAAGGCAGCTCCTCTGTTTTTTTAGGTACTTTATTTTGTTCCCAGTGCAGGAAACAGGGATTGTACATACCAATTACTGAAGGACGAAATTCCCAGCAGCTTGCTTTTTGAACACTTTAATGCTGTCCTATCAATTATGCATCGAGGTGAATGATTCTGTCACTGTCTGCCAGAGCCTTGATGTGTGTGGTTTAGCTGAAGGAGCAATTTGACATTACCTAGTAATTGTGCTGTAAAGGGTCAGGGAAGTGCACTGTCTGAAAGGCTCTGGGCTGGGGAGTCTGTCTAAGTGAGTGCTGTAATGCAGGAGAGTTCTGAGTTAAAGAATCATGGTCTGTCGTGCACAGAAAAGTGAACACCACAAATAGGCTGAAGGTCTAAGCATTACAGTACGTTACAGAGCTTAGAACAGAAGCACAAAGTCCGTCCATGCTGCATTATGTACAACCTAAATTGGTTCACAGATAAGTAATTCTTGTTATTTACGTCGATCCATTTTCTTACCGTTTCTCCATGTTGGTGGAGAACACCCTAGACAGGATGCCAGTCCATCCCAGGGAACATACAGACACAAACACAGACATACTTATGCCAGGGCCTCTTTTCCCACGTAATAGTCAATAGGTAAGGCGGTTAGCCTACCAGTGTGGACTGTTGGAGATAACTTGAGCACCTGAAAGAAACCCACACAAACCAAGGGAGAACATACAAACTCCACATAGACAGCACCCCAGGTCCAAAACTGAACCCAGGGCCCCGTTCTTGTGAGGCAGCAATGCTAACCACTGTGCAATTACTATTAAATGAAATAAACCAGGGTGATATGTGTGATACGTGAATATTACCCATCAGTAGTAGTGGTCATAGTTGTTACATAGCACTTAGATAAGCTACAACTACAGTCAGCTGAGGAAGTCTGGAATATCACACAACATCGTTTACTCACAGAAACCCAGAGTGTGAGTTTTCTAATCTCAATGCAAATGTGTTCAAAGTGTTTTCCTGACAGGGCTTGCCAATGTTGACTCTCCCTGCGCAGCGCATAAGAAATCCAAACCATTCCATGGGTATACCCCAGCTCTTAAAGTGATTACTCCGAGGGAAGCTCTGCTGCACTTCTGCATTATCAGTCCACTCCCTCATCACAGCTTGCAAGCTAGTCCACAATGGGAAGGTGTCCAAACACCTAACATTACTGTAATTTGTAATGATTTAAGGGAAAAACAGTGTTATCTGCATGGAGTTTGTATATTCTCTCCGTGTTTGCATAAATTTCTTCTGGTTGTTCCAGTTTCCTCCAACAGTGTGAAGATATACTGGTAGGTTAATTGTCTTCGGGGAAATTGTTCCAAGTGTGATTGTTGTGCTTGTCTGTGTTTGTGTGTCCTGCAATGGATTGGCGTCTCATCCAGGATGTAACCCTCCTTGCACCCAATGCATCTCTGGATAGGATCAGGGCCACTGTGAGCCTGAATTGGATAAGAGATTATTGAAAGTGATGTGGTGATGTGACCCATTATAGTTTAGGTACATCCTTGTCTGTATTGACAGTAGGGAAAATGAGAAAACAATTTACAGAACCAAATTTCTGATGAATGGTGCCACAGTTTAATTTTAATGTGGAATGTATAAGTCAACCTTTAACCAGAACACAATAGATGAAGTAGAAGATGTAAGATGCAGAGTGTGTTTTAAGTACCTTCAGCATCAAAGGCATTAAATATGGACAAATCTCCGAATATAACTGAGAAACTCAATACAAAAGGGGGAACATGAGTGCCATATATAATCAGAAGGATGTACAAGTCCCTCATGAAGTTGATGTAAAACCAGAATGCACTCTGCTTTCTTCTAAATACAGTCAACACACTTAGCCTTAATAGAGCAAGGACTGGGCCCCTGAAATTGTGTTTTAGCTGTATTTAACTGTTGACCATGTGTAACGACTGTATGGCTGGTTTCTGTTCTGTAGTTTTTCTAATGTCTCCCATTAGGCTCACAGCTGTTTGCTCTGAAGGAAGGGCATGTTATGTATATCAACCCTTCTGTAACCCTGACCTCATTGTTTCCTCATTGAGAAAGGAAACACAAGCTTGGTATTCATTGTTTCACAAACGCTCATAAACCCTTCCATAGTCTCTATGAGCTGCAAATTGGGACCTTTGTTTTTCATCAACCTTCCTTGGTAATGTAATTGGAAATTGTTTGGTAGTCTTATCTAAAATGAATTTCATCTTTTGAAAAGTGAAACTTTCTTTTACCTGGTTTAATTTGAAATTGATAAATGCTATGCGGTTTGGTAAAATAAATATGTGGCATAACTTTCATGAGGCAAGTTACTGTTGACCTGTCTTTTTCTTTTGAAATGATTGCGTTTCAAAATTCAAATGTAATTTAAAACTTAATAGTGTAAATATATGTTATGTTTTGACATTTAACAGACAAAATAAAAAAGGCAGTCTGACAGCAGGAACAAAGCAACAAACATCTTAACCTACTATGACTGCTCCAGCCCTGTGTTCTAATGATTGACTGCACTGTCTCCAGCTTAGTCGTGTGTATCATGGCTGATAAGACATTTGAAGAAACTCACACTGGTTGATGTTGTCTCATTGAGTGTTGTTCTAGATGTTCTGCAGAATCGCTCCTTCATTGACAATGCAGACCAATTTATAACTAGAGTTGCTCTGCCACTAGAGATACTCTCTGAGGACCCAGGTTGGTTCAAGCCTAGATCATGTCACTAGCTGTGACTGGGATTCCCTAAGCAGGGGCAAGCAACTGTCAAAGCGTCAGTGTGGTAGCATGGGTATTGTGTCTTCACTGGCACCTGTTGATTTACAATGGCATCAGTGTAACATGCCTCCACATGATACTGCCTCACCTATAATACACTGTGAAGCTTGGCTTGCAACATATGCTCTGTCATGTGGGCATGTAAGGTTTCCTTGC